CAATATTCAACTTTGTCGCTAAGCAGGTTGTACATCTTCCAACTATCTTTAAAAGCTTGTAGGCGTTCTAGATTGACTTGAACGTCCTCCTGTAACTTCTGGATAATTTCAAGGGATTCGACATAGGCTTGTTCTAGTTCGGAACAAGAAACCAGTTCTTGTAATTTTTGAGCGACACAATTTAGATGAGTAAGTTTGGCGTGGTGATAATCTATATCAGCAGCTAAAGAGTTATGAAGATCAATGTATCTTTCATAATCTGAAGATGTAACGCTATTTAGATCCGGAACACGTTGTTGAGCTACTTGTAGCCATCTCAGTTCGTCTCTGGTACTCTGTTCTAAAACTGTCCATCTAGAAGCAGCTAATGACATTACTTGGAATCGCCCAGTTGATTTATCTAATATAACACTGGCTCGTTCATACAGATTTTGATGGAGTTGTGAATGTATTGCTCTGGTTTCAGAATCCAGATTTTCTTCGAGCGATTCCAGAATTGCTCTACAATGACTTAAGTTAACGAAGAATTTGCGGTGATTCTGCATTTCATCTTCTAAATGTTCCAAATTACGAACAGATATTGGGCTTTCAATAAGTGCTTCAGCTATCAAAATAATTTGGCTAAATTCTTTCAAAGTTTGTTCGTATTCATCAGCCAAAGAGAGGAATTGGTAAGCTTTTTCTCTTTCTACGACGACTTGTTGCTCAATCTGTTTGGCTATTTCGTTGTTTAAGTAAACTTCCCGCGGAATTTCTTTAGTGGGGAAATCTCTCATTAAACCTTTGGCAGTTGCGATCAGATGAACAATTTTAACAATTTGTGATCTATTGTTGTTTTCTATTTTCTCAAGTTCGCTGAGTTTGGTTTGAGGAGATGCATCTGAGTCTTTCAGTTCACTTAATTGCCGTCTCAATTCCCTGACTTGTTTGTTAGTTGTAGTTACCTCATCCAAAAATTCGTTCCACCTCTTCAAGTCTTCAGCAGCAATTTGTTCGTTTTCTTCTGTAACTTCTTCAATAACTTTGACTTGTTGTTGAAGGGAATCTACGTAGCTCTTTATTCTCTGTCGTTCATCTTCATTGTAAATATCGTCTGTCTGTTTGATCACCGACTGAAGTTGCTCTACTTTGGTTTCGATATTGGCAATTTCTTGCTTGAGTTCATTAAATTCTTGAACTCTCGCCGCTGATGGACCTTCTAGAGTTTGTTGTCTGTTAACATATATTCTGTATTCGATTGTTTCCAACCAAGTAGTAATTGTTTCGACTGTAGTTATCACTGTTTGCTGTATGATAACCACATCCCTTCTTTCCACAGCTTGTTGCAGTAACACTAGATTTTGTTGAATGTTGTCGTTCCTTTGCTGGATCGTTTCGTCTGTAATAACCTCGTTTAGAGTGGCTAAATACAATACATCGCTGAGGTGTGTCGTTTTCTTTGCATTCTGCAAGTTTTTGAATCTCTCTAGGGCTTGTGTTTGGTTCCATCTAATATTAACTTCCTTAATCGGAACTGCAGAACGTTGGACTTCTGCTTGAATCAGAGCAGTAGAAGCATCTGCAGGTCTTTGCCAGGTCGATACAGAATACTCTGGTGGTGAAAGAGGTCCAGAGTCGGACGCTGGTGTTAGAGGAGTATCTGCGATGATTCTTGGAGATTGAACTTCTTCTATGGTCACAGACGTAACGTGTTTTGTTTTGCCTTTTGGTTTGGCAACCTGAGGCTTCTTCTTTTGCTTGTCTGTACTTTCGGGGGCAGGAACAGTGGAATCTTCAGGCGATGGTTCAATAGATTTACTTTCAACTACCTCTATAATAGTTAGTTCCTTTTGAGAAGTTGGTACTTCCTCTAATTCTTTGTTCAAAACTGTTACATCAGAAGGTTTAACTTCTTTAATAGTTGATTTTGGTAAATCAGATACTTCGGGTAGTAGCAGAGGTTTCTTTTGTTGTTCCTCCTTAATAGTAACTTCAACTTTGTCTGTAGTAAGTTCAGTGGTACTGGGCTTGGTTTCAGTTCCCTGTATTTGTGGCAACGGTTTACTTTTAGACTTATCTAATTTAGCAGCAGTATCAGGAATAGATTCTTTAGGAAGTTGAGAAGGTATACCTTCATTAGTTTTGATAATGCTTGTTTCTGGTTCAGTTGGTTGTGTCTGAGGTAATGATATTGGTTTATCATTGATCAGTACTGCATTTTCATCATTGAAAGCACTGTCTTTCTCTGACTCTATAAAATCAACAGTTGAAGTAATACTTGATGGTTTAACACTAACATCGTATTTTATTACCACTTCCTCTGCTTCTGGTGAAAGAGGAACATCCTTTTCTTTGATTTCAGCTTCAGTAAGCAGCGAATCAACGGTAAAAGAAGCAACTTGTGGAATCTTATCATCTGACTTTACAGTATATGTATCTTTTGTGGTCATTTCAATACCAGGAACAGTTTCTGATTCTTGAGGAGCTGTGAGAGTAATATCAACTGTTGTTTCGTGTTGATCCAACTCAGCAGGAGTAGGTTTCTTACCTTTTTTGGAAATAGTTTTTACTTTATCCTCGTCGATGTCTGTAAATACTTTAGAAACTACTTGAGTAGTTGTTACCGTAGTCTTTTTCTGTGGTGTTGGTTCTTGTTCCGCTTTTTGCTCAGATGTTTCTGGAACTTCATGTTCTTTATATCTTGTTGGAGAAGGTGTTCTGGATCTTCTAGTAATGTCAGCATAAGAAAGAGGTGATAAAGTATCCTCCACTGTAGTCTGCCTCTTGAATTCAGAAAACAGATCTTTCTCGATAGCGATGTCGCTTGGTTGAGGTTTTTGCTTTGACTTCTTATGACGTTTTTTATGCCGTCTTGAGGTCCAATCTTCTTCTTTTTCGTTATCCAAGAATGTTGTTACGACAGCGTTTTTATCTACAGGAACTCCATCAAAAGTAACTTGAACGTCGTACTCTTCTCCTGATTCTGAACTGGATTTTATTGGAACTGGCTCTATCGGAGTTTCTTGTTTTTGTATTTCTTGTTCTACCTTTGTAGGTTCGATAGTAAGAATTTTGTTTTCGACTATCTCGCTTACAGAATTATCTGATGATGGTACCAGCACAGAAGCCTTTACGTGAATCTCATACATCTCAGACGAAGTGGGTGTTGGTGTTGGACTTGGTGTCATTATGTCACCTACTTCTTGAATGATTACTGGACTAGTTTGCGTAACAATCTCTGTAGTTTCTACTTTCTGAATAGGTGAATAGGTACTAACTGGTTGTTCTATTGGTGGAGCAGAAGGTTCAGGAGACGTCTGTAGTCCAAATTCCATAATTTCTGGTTTCACTTGCGATGCTATTTCGGTGGTTTGAATTTGCTCAGGAGATTTAGTTTGAGCTGATTCTTCCCGACTTTCTACATGTGTCTGCATAGCTGAATCACTTCGGATCAATTCAGTCGTTTCAGGAGAAATGGTCTGTATGGCTTCCTCGATGATTTCTACTTTCTCAGGTGTAACTGTCTGTGTAGAAATTTCTGTAATTTCCGTTGTCACTTTTTCTTGTGGAGATTCGCTCTTTGGTGTTGTTTGTGTAAGCGTTTCGGTAGTTTCGATCTCAACCTGAGTAAAACCTTCTTTAACTTCTGGTTTTACAGTGACAATCTCTTTTTCTTCATCGCTTGTTTGGATGAATGCTTCTACAATTTCTTTTGGTGTTTCTGGTGATGTTTGAACCGATACTTGTTCTTTTGGTACTTCAGGTATCTTTTGGACTGGAGCTTCTTGTACAGCACGTTCAGTTTCCAAAAATTCGTTGGTTATATTAACTGGAGACGTCTGAGCTACAGTTTCTTGGGTAATGACAGCTTCTATAACAGGAACAGTAGTTACAATTTTTGTTGTTATTTCTTCAGGTGATTTGCTTTCGGATCGGATAACTATATTTTCTTCTACTACTTTAACGGTACCAGGTTCTGAAGGAGTTGAAATTGTATGGTAGGAATCATCCTGTGAAATAATTTCGTCTCCGGCTTCACATATAGCAGGTTCTTCTGACTCTAACTCTGGTTCACTATCTTCTTCTGGCTTTCTCTTGTTTTTCTTGCGCTTTTTAGTTTTCTTTGGCTGTTCAACTTCCGTTTTTTCAACTTTAATAGGTTCATCGTCGCTAAAAGGTACCGAGTTATCTGCAGATGACTCATATATAGATGGTAGGAACGTTTGATTCTTCGGATTCCTTAACCTTGACCTTTTGCTTTTTCTTTTTCTTTCTACGCTTCTTTTTATCTTGTTCTTCTTCGGCCAGGCTCTCCTCTAGGGTTTTATCTGCTTCATATCCTGTTTCTTTTCCTTTAAGACTATCATCAGATTCGCTAACAGAGGCAAATATATCTTGCGTTGGCTTTGGAGTTTCTTCTGATCTTACAGATTCTTCAGGAATTGATATCTCTACCGATTCTGCTAAAGATGTAACAACAGACTCAACTTTTTCGTCTTCTGTTTCTTGAATCACTGATTCTGGCTTTTCTTCGATTGGAGTTTCGATCTGCGCAGATCCAGACTTTTCTTCTACTACTGTAGATTCTGGTTCTAGCGTTGCTTCCACTGGAGATTCTTTTACAGGTTTAACTTCTTTTGGTTCTTCTTTTTCTTCTGGAGTTGGTGTCTTACTGTCTTTGTGTTTCTTTTTCTTTTTACTCTTTCTGCCTCCGTGGTCGATATCGCTTGGAGTAGATGGTTTTGTTTGCTCAACTTCCAATTTTGGTACAACTGAAGATACCTCGCTAATCTCAGTTATTTCTGTTGCCAGTTTTGGTAACTGAACGTGAATATCTTTGTGTAAGATTTCAGAAGGTTTAGTCAGATCTGATGTTTCTTCAATCTTCATAGCAATAGAAACTTTGGGGGTAGCTATTGAGGAGTCTTCATATTTTTCTTCAAGAGAAAGAACAATATCAACTTCTTGGTTTGGTTCTTTTATTTTGCTTTCTTGTACTGGCGTAGGAATAGGTTCTGATATTACCATTTGTTTTCTTGTACTGATGGAGAAATAGATTCTGGTACTACCACTTTGCTTTCTTTTACTGGTGGAGAAATAGATTCTGGTACCACTACTTTGCTTTCTTTTACTGGTGGAGAAATAGATTCTGGTACCACTACTTTGCTTTCTTTTACTGGTGGAGAAATAGATTCTGGTACTAACACTTTGCTTTCTTGTACTGCTGCAGTAATAGTTTCTGTTATTACTACTTTGCTTTCTTGCACTGGAGCAGGAATAGATTCTGTTATTATCACTTCACTTTCTTGAGCTGGCACCGGAGAAGATTTATGTATGTTCTTTTCTTCAGTCTTAACAATTAAAGCATCCGATTTACTAGAAACTGTTTCTACTTCTAAAGGTTGGATTGGTTCTATTTGAGATTCAGGTTTTTCATGTGATATCTTTACTCCACTTAATTGCTTTTCGTTTTCGATAAAGTCTAAACTGGCACTCGTGGGCCGAGTCTTCTCCTGAACTATCTGTGTTTGTTGACGAACAATAGTAATCTCTGGTTTCGTTTCTTCGAGAGATAAAGCTACTTCTACATTTCCTCCAACTTCTCTAGTCACAGATGTTACTGCTTCTGTTTCTTGTATCTTTATAATACCAAACGGTGGTGTTGTTCCTTGAATAACTTCTTTAGGAACTGTTTGAGCAACCTCTACAATCTCATTGGAGGTAATACCTGGAGATACTTTTTCAGTTTCTTGTTCAAATACATCATCAGCCGGTGTAATAGGACTCTGTGTTCTAGGGGTACCAGATACCTTTTTAGTTTTTCCAAATTCTCTTTTCTTTTTGGTCTTTGGAGATTTCTTTACTTCTTGAACAACGGAACCATGGTGCTGTTGTTCTGTGAGAATGAACTGTTGCGAAAGATGACGTTCAGTGGAACCACTATCTGATAATTCCTCCAATGGAGGGGCACTCGGTGAATGTAAATCAGTCTCTGGTTCAACTTCAATTGGTGGAGTTTTATCAATGACATCGTCGGTTACCTTTGCAACCTGTGTGGGTATTTCGACTTCTATGGGAGAAACAACAACAACATTGTCAGTATCGTCCGTAATTGTTTCTTGTTTGACAATTACAGATGAAGGTCTAATGTCTGTGACTGTAACGGTGTGTTCACTTACACTTTGACGTTGGTCTTTCTTGTCATCTGGAGATTTTACTTTAATTTTGGTTACCTCTTTTGGTGGAGGTACAGCTGCTTCCACGGTTCTAACAATGTTGTTCAGTTCTTCTAGTATTGCCCCTGCAAAATGACCTACTGAATGTGAAGGAGGCATATCAGCTTCAATAGATTCAGTAGACGGAGACTCTTTTTGTTCAGTAGGATGGAGTTCGCCTGTAGTAAGTGAAATATCATATTTAACTGCTTGTTGTTTAATAGACTCGTCATCTGGAGTCTTTTTGTCTTCATCAATACGTGCTGCGTCGACACTAGGTGCGATATCAATTTGACTACTTTTAATTTCACTATGAGCAAGCCTTTCATTATCTAAGAAATCGGATACCAAAGGAACTGGTTTTATTGCAGTTGTTTTTACAAATTCAGTGACTTGTGCATTATCAGGCTGTGGTGCAGTGCTTTGAGTTATCACATACCTCTCTTCGGTTCCTTTAACAAGGACCGATTCTTCTGGTTGTTCTGCAGTGATTCCGGAAACTTTTTCAGTTGAATGAACTTCAGTCTTTGGTTTTGATGTTGAGTCAATAGATGAAATACGAATTTGGTCTTCGACTTCTGTGTCTGTTATTACAGTCGGTGCAGTAGGTTCTTTCTCATCTGTCTGTGTTTGCTTTAATTCAGTTATAGTAATTTCTTGTTCCATTGGTTGTGTGACGACAGTAACATCTTCAGGTAAAGCATCTATTGGTCTTCCTTGAGCATCTAAAGTCACTGTAGTTACCTTTTTAGTTACAACAACATCTGGTTCTTCTACTATCGGTTGTTCACCAAACTGTTGTTGTTGCACAACGTTGCCGTTTTCAGTTCTTACTACGTTGATGCTTACTCTAGGTATACCCTCTTCAGTTACCTCAATTTCTTCAGGTTCTTCGATGACTTCTTCTTGAACATGCTCTTTTCCGTCTATAATAACTGTTCGTCGTATGATTCTACGTGTTTTTCTAATAATTCTTCTAGTTACTTGCTGTACGACTGCTCTGACGCTTGAACTGGAAGTATGGATTTCATTCCCTTCAAGCACAACTTGTGAGGAACCAGCTGGAATTAACTGGTTATTCTGACCATCTACAAAAGTAATATCTCCTTCATGTAGCTTAACACCTTGTACTTCCACTTCTTCTGGTTTAAAAGTGGGGCCTGTTGCTGAGAAGTGAGTTTCTGGTTCCGTTTCATATTCCTGGATATTGATATCTCCTCCTGGAGCTCCGGATACAACTCGACCACCATACTTTTGGCTGCTAACTGTGGCTTTGCTTCCATCGCCTTTAGCAACTGAAGTAGCACTCTGTTGTCCAGTTAATGTAATTTGAGAGAAAGATTGTGTCACAGGTACTCCTCCCTCTGTTAGGGTACTAAGCGTAGAGAATTGTTGATGTTGGGAAGACTGTTGATGTCTGACAACAGTTCTATGCAGTTTCTTTACTATTATCCTCTTGGTACCATCAGCATCAACAATCACCTCTGTCGTGGTTTCATCTGGTTCGACAAATACAGTTTCAAACGGTTGATTTGGTTGGACATTTGTTATGTTCAATTCTGTGGTTCTAGTTTCAGATTGAGGTCTCCTTCTGTAATCGGCTTCGACCAGAAGATCATCCGGTTCTTCAATAATCGGCTGAGGATCTGTAACAGGCTTTGTAGCAATCTGGATGGTTTCTTGACCTCCAGAAGACTTCTTGGAAATAGTTATGGTCTCCTTTGTTTGAGCATGCTCAACTTCACTTTCAGGCTGAGACATGGTTTGTATTTGAACATCAACAGGCTGGTTGTACGTTACAGTAAAATCTTTAGTTAATGGTTCTTCTACAGGAGAAGATAAACTTCGACCTGTTTGGGTTTCAATAGAAGCTACTGGCTTAGGAACAATTTCTTTAACTGTTTCCTGAGTTACGTGTTTTGTTTCAACAGTAACAGGAGCTTCTTCTATTGGCATAGACGTTGAATCTAATGTGTTTTCAAGAGAAACATCAGGGGTTTCAAGTTTAAGTCTACTTTCTTTTATTTGTGTTAAAATAGTTCGTGTTGTTTCGAGTCTAGTGATTATTATTATTTTTTGTTCCTCAAAGATTGTAATAACAGTTTCAAGTTGTTCTAGTAAAGTTTTAACCAGAGGCTGTAAATCTGGGTAGCTTTTGAATTTTTCACATTCGGTTTTGAGTTCCTCAAGCTTTTGTTCTCTCTGCAAAATTTCTATTTGTAAAGCTTCGAGGTTGTTTATATAATCTTCAGCTTGGGTTTCGTTTTGGGGTTTAATTAAATAGGTCTCGATTTTGGTCCTTGTAATTTCCAGCCAAGTTTGGATCTCTATCAATAGTTCCTGGTACTTGGTGACTTCCTGTTTTTTCTTCTGTTGGGTTTCTTGTGCATTCTAAAACAAAAAAAAAACTATTAATGTTTCAGTCGGCTATACTCTGTTGGAGAAGTATTAGAAACGTCAACAGGAAGAAAACCCCAAGTATTAGACGATATGGTAAAACAAACAATCCAAAGAAAAATCCACTAGGAAACTAAGTTCCTGTAGCTGGCTGTATACCATATATCACAAAAAATTTTATTTCAAATCCTTTATAAAAGGTATATAATAAAATGCCCAAACGGGCTATCACAATTAAATTACAGAACGTTTTCGGAATGTTAATTCTATCATCAGTGTAAACGGGGTATACATGCTATGACCCACCAAAATATATGGGTCAAAACCCGTTAAATGTTACAAATTTATAGTTGTTTTACATTATATATAATTACAAATTAGGATGTTTAAGTTACCGTTGGAATTAGTAACATGGCGACGTATGATCCTATATAGGTTATATGATCCTATATCCTATATTAGTCACCAAATGTACGAAGAAGTACGTAATAAGAGGCTAATGTTGAAGAAGAAAGAAGAAACAGTATTTAAAGATTTAATTAAAAATCCTTTGTAATAGGTATATATTTAAGGCCCAAACGGGCTAAGTTAAAAAGACATAACGTTTTCGGAAACCATGTTCCATCATCAGTGTCTAGGAGTACATGAATGTAGCCACCAAGATTAAATATATGGGTAAAAACCCGTTAACAGATGTTTAATTGCACTCATACAGTCCTCGAAGACATACCGTCTCAGGACTAGCAACTTCAACGTGGAGTCATATGTCGCCATGTTACCTAATCCATCGGTAACTCTTTAATCCTAAATCATTATAACATTATTTTAAAACTAAATGTAATTAAACATCTGTAATCGGGTTTTTACCCACATATTTAATCTTGGTGGCTACATTCATGTACTCCTAGACACTGATGATGGAACATGGTTTCCGAAAACGTTATGTCTTTTTAACTTAGCCCGTTTGGGCCTTAAATATATACCTATTACAAAGGATTTTTAATTAAATTTTTAATACATGGTATACAGCCAACTACAGAAATGTAGATTCCTTTTGAAAAGTATTTAAAGCATACACACAAGAAGGAAGAAGAAAAAGAAGAAGACGATAAAATATGTGTGCTTATAGAGAAAGAAGAAATAATTGGTATTAAAAGTTAGGAAAGATAAATAGGTTACAAATGGTCGTCAGGCGTTTACTGAAGGTTTGTCTCTTTGTCTACTGGTAAAGGTCGTCGTTTGATTATCACTCATATTGGAGGAGATAAAGGATTTGCTGATCAATGTTTACTACTGGCACTGGCATTCAACCGAATCTAGAGAAGAAACGTTAGCAAGAATCACCCAGGAACTAGGAAAATAATGATGTACAGTATTCTACACACTATAAAAAAATGTTAACAGCTGGTAGGAAAATCTGAAATAGGTCTGTTTGATAACTTTGTCTACAGACACCTGAATGAGCCAACAACAATCAATGAAACAAATAAAGCCATCTAAACATATAGATATATTCTTTTAACAATAAATCCGTTATGAGAGACGTGTAGGAAGAACACCGTTACATAGATTTATTCTTTTTAAGAGTTTCCATTAAACTTGTAATATTTCTCGTGATTTGAAGAACTTGACTTCTCTCCTCTATCTCACACTCAGACTTTACCGGTTAGTATTTAGGAAGATTATTGTTTAGAATACTGTTTTGTTCTTACCACTACTAAAAGTCTTCCGTGTTCAGCTTGTGACAATAATGTAGCGATGCGCGTTCGAATGCCTGCCAATTGGGCAGCTAAGGCTTGGGTTTCGTGGTCTGCAGTCAGCGAGTTGACTTGTCCTTCAAGTCGTATCGCTTCAGTTGCATGTTTCTTCAAATTACTAGTGACAGTCTGAAAAATAAAAGAGAAAAATTAGAATTGTCTAAATATCTTGTAAATAAATTATAAAAAAAATTTTGGAATGATTTTGTAACGTTATAAACGTCACATCTCTATTAATTTATATTTAAATAATTATTTCATTTTAATTTCTTTATTAATTTATTAATTTCTTTATCTTTAGTTTAATTTTTACTAGTTTTTATTTAAAAAGTAGTTGGCGCCCTCTGTTTTTATTTTCTTCCTCTGTCTTTCTTTTCTCTCTCTTTCTGTCCTGTAGAATAAATATTCGCCCTGTCTCTTTCTGTCCGACAGACTAAATATTCTGTTCTGTGTTGACATCCTATGACATCTGTGCTAACTTCATCTGTGCTATGATCACAATGCTTTAATTGTGATCTTTATTCTATAATTCTGACAGCCTTTTCAATATTCATAACCTTACTTCTTTCGAAAGCAGATATTTCCTATTATATACATTAGGTCTCTTCTAAGTAGTAACAATTATATTTCATTTTACCCTTGCCATACGCTATTTGTTTAATTGTAATTTTCTAAAATGACAATGAAATTAAACCCTTTTTGATGTGTCTCTAATGCAAGCTGTTTCTGGTATTTTAGTTTTTTGGTTTTTTTGTTGGGCAAGGTTTATTGGCCACATCAAATTTAACGACCACATTCAAAATAATGACTATTTGAGGACTCAACAACTACAACACACAAGGAGCCCATCGAAGCAATAAGTATCACGAATTAATTGTTAAGCTTTGGCAGGGTTGATTGTTTTCTATTGTTTTTAATAAATATGATTGGTTAAGATTTGTTTTATTTGTTTTATCAGCTAAGAGTTCAGGTTCAATCCCCAGTTTAAGACAAGACGAATTCAGATTTGAGATACTGAGCTAGGCAAGGCATAGGCGATCAGCTTCTATGGTTGATTGAGGTATTATTTTTATAATAGTACTTCAATTCTCTTTGGTAGTTTTATCGTTACACATTGGCGCCCAACGTGGGGCGTAAAATAACCACAGTTACTTTAATAACTTCAGTCTGCTTATTTATATCAACGAATGAAGGCAAACATTGCGTATGAAGAATTTATATAGATGAGGTCAGCACCAGATCCTTATTCAGAGTAGAAGTAGATGAAAATGCTGAATTATATTTTAGAATAACATGATGATTGCAAAAAATATAAACAAAGTCATCTGCATCTTCACTATTAACAGTAAAAAAAGACAGTGACCGAATACATCAACTGCTTAACAAAATATCGAAAAAAATATACAGTACGATGAAAAGTTACAGATCTATAAATATAATAACACTTTAGGCCACTTAAATGAAAGAGTATGGCAACAAAAGATCCTATTTCCTATCTCCTCAATTAAAAAAAAGAGGTCTTGAATTCATTCTTTATAAGACCAGTTGATAAATCTGAACTGATCCAAACAACCAGTAGTATCAAAAGCAAATTTTCCTGTAGTACTGCTGGAATATGCATAAAAATTTTCTTAAATCTCCCAAAAAATATGTTGGAGGAAGTCCTGGTCTCGCCAATTATTGATTCCTTTGAAAAAGGTATATTTCCACTTCCAGAGTGCCTAAAGACAGCCACTATTATTCCTCTAACACAGTGTATACCCGTACAAAGCGGAGTCAAACAGGGTGACTCGTTCAGCCCACTTCTCTTTAATATAATAATGGACGAAATAATACAAGCAGTACGTAAAGGTCATGGCTACAGAATGGGGAACAAAGAAAACCAAATATTATGTTATGCAGACGATGCCGCATCAATCGGCGAGACAGAAGACGAGCTCTAAAGATTAACACATATCTTCAATACAACAGCTAAGAAACACAATATGATTGTGTTTCTTAGCTGTTGTGTATTCCATTCCATACATTCCATACACTTTACCTAACAATCAATCAAAACAATTATTCAATTATCTCCCAAAAATTGACCAGACAAATCATGGACTATAATTCAATTACTGATAAACAGAATAGATAAAAATCGACAACAATAAATTCTAAATTACTAAATGAAAGGAAGAAGTGGACTTTCATACCGTAACATGTAACACGTTACTAAACAACAATCCTGGCTGGAACGAAAAAGAAGATATTATTCTTCGTACTTGTTGTATAATAATATGCATACATAGAAAGCTCTAAAATATAAAATCTTTGTCTAAAACTTCGAGGCATGACTGTTTTATCACTCTAAAACAATTTCCCTTCGCAGACAGAGGTATTTAACCTTGACAATGTGTTTAGATGTCACGAAAGAAATATGTATCCACTATCTCTGTTTATACTTAATGTATAATGTAGATAAATAATTGTTGTTATTGTTTTCTTCATGAATAAATTATGTACCTTGAACTATGTAGATATAAGAATAGTATTTTTCTGTAGCAAACATTTTAGAATCACCTACTCGTATAAAAATGTGTCTAAAAATAGTTATTTAGTAATTATGAAGGTCGGAAATGCTTACGTTAATAATACATTATTCGGTAATAGTGTTTTTGTTTAGAAATCAGAAAAATGGTAAATAACTAGCAAAAAGAAAGTTATTTACAGATGTATGTAAACACGAGTTTAATAACAACAAAAGGTTAAGATTGATAGAAACTTCACTTAAACATCATAGACGTATTATGTACCAAAAGATCACAATTATTAAGAATGGATCAATTCTTAATTTGTGAAGATTTATCGCGAACTTTGATATTTATAATTCCTGACATTAACTTTTAAGTTATAGACTAATTTATTGACTGCTATCGTTCCTCAATAGCCTTATAATTTGATTTAGGTAGTCAATCTACTTCATGGTAGCGGAATAGGATGTAAATCTTGCCAGACTCCCGGCTCCCATGCCTTAGTCTTTCAGGTCGAGATCTTTGCAATCCTGGTATATGCTTACGAGATAACAGATATCGCTTGCTCAGGCAGGACCATCTATATCTGCTCTTGCAGTTAACCAGCTCTAAGGGCGTTGGAAGCCCATTTAACCAAAGACCATTTAAGCTGGTTCTTGAATGCAAGAAAGGACTTGCTGATGCTGCGCTGACCAATAGGGTTAACTTGGTATGGGTACCGGGACATAGAGGCGTGAAGGGAAACGAACGGACTAACGCGATGACAAGACAAGGCTCATCAACTCTGACTATGGGACCCGAATCTTTGATTGGAGTACCCTTCAGTACTGGTTGGGGTAGTCTCAAGGAGCTTCTTCTGCGGAGGTTCCAGGACTCCACATAGTGGGGCCATCGAAAATTCTTATAGCCCAATTTCTCCTTCTAGACCTTAAAAGATGCTCTCTGGGGGGTCAGTATGCTTATTAGCCACTATAGACTCAGGCGGCGCCTTCATCTACTTGGATTGACAGATGGACCGCCATCTTTGTGACTCCTCACATGTCCTCTGGAAGTGCTCGGAACTATCAGAGGTGACAGACCCTGTGTTCGATCTTTATGCAACGGATCCAAATGAGTGAGTTACCCTTAAAAGATAATTATGGCTTTGTGTTAGGCTACAAGGTTACTAAATAATTAGACGTTCGGACGGCATGAAGAGCTCAGATTTGGAATTCCTACTGATTATAGCAGATATGAGAGCCCGGAGCAGCCTAGGACCCAAAAACGCCAAAGATCAGGTGATCCATACAATGGACCCTACCTCGATCTATCATAACCACAATTCATCTACTTCAACAATATTAATAGTGTAAGCCAGACTTCAGTGAAGCAAGTCTGGCTTACACTATCAGCTAATCCATAGAATAGTAGACCACATCTTAACAACTAATCTCATCTGCTACCCCGAGCGGCCCATAGTTTGTTGCGTCTAAACAACACGTAAAAACAATTTCACAAACTCAAAACGAAAGAAGAAGACATTACAGACAAAAAAAGACGATTTGACTGTTAGAGAAGTGACAGACGACATTTGACAGGTGGCGCCATTTTTAGTCCACAAAAAATACGGTGTCATTGCTAGTTCCTGAAAAACAGAGTAATACGGTCACGATTTTGATCAACAGTACTTCAGGGAAACAAGTGTGTGACGTAAGAGTGGGAGGAGTTGTAATGCGATTGAGATACAATATTCCCAGGCCCAAGCGGTCCATACTGAGCAGAATACTCTTACTCTGACGCCACACGGTTGTTTCTTTGATTTTTTGTTGACTAACATCTTTTCTGTTAGCATCTGCGTATAAAAGCTTTGGCAATGTATTATTTGAAAGACTTGACATTTTACAAAGGATATTGTTGGTCGATATTAATGCGGATTTTCTGTTGGAAAGTCGACTACACATCAAATTCAAGCACATAGGTAGATTCTAGAAAAGTCTGCTGGACTATTAACAGATACACACCATCTCTTCATCGACTTCAAAGCATCCTATAACAGTGTAAAAAGCACTGAATTATATAATGCACTTATAGACTTTGGGATCCCACCAAGTTAGTTAAGTTGACCCAACTAACAATGCAAAACGTAAGCTCATGCGTTAGAATTTAAGGAGAAAACTATACGTTTTACGTTAACATTAATTCACGAACCACACCGATAAACAACCAACAAGATACATAATATAAACAGAAGAACAAGGCTTTGAATTTGGAAAATGATGTACCGCCGTCATCTTCGTAGACAGAAAATTGATATAAACATGTCTCTGGAAAATAATAGTTTGTTTGTTATACACAAAAATATGCCACTATATTATATAAACAAAACGAGCGAAAACATAAATCAAAGTAATACAATAAAAGCAAAAATAGAAGAAAACAAAAACGATTTTGGCAATGGTATAAGGGAGGGAGATTCCTAAAATCCATTACTGTGTTATAACCTGTTTATTACACTGATAACATCGTCATAAAAGTCACGTCGTTTAACGAAAATTGATTGTGACACTACTAAAACTATTTGATTGTCCCTCGTATATAAAAATAAACCACATACAAAACATATTATTATATATATTA